CTTTTCTTCTGCTTGGAGAGTATCCTGGAATAGCCAATCCAAAAAGCGGTGTGAGTAGTCAATCGTTTTTATAAGTGGCTGTTCGCAACTTGCCAACTTTTGTCCACAAACTTTTAATAGAAGTTGCTTTCTGAATTTTTTCCTTATCAGTGCCGTCGTTTTCAGGGTGTGCCCTGAAACTTTTACTGCTTCAAAGTGTTTTAACAGCAGATCTTACTTTGCGTGTACCTGCCGTGAACCTCGCTTTTCCTTAACTGATTTGATGGCCGTCAAACGACCCGCCAGATGATCCAGAATTTCCGTGTTTTTTCCGAATCGTTTCTTCGAAATAGGCACGAATACTTAGTAATTGTCACTCCGATGCGGTACGCTAAAAACAACTATTTCTGTAAAAAGCTGACCAGACAAAGTAACTTTTGTATGACAAAAAGGTTCGTGTTGTAGTGTACCGCAACTTTGAAGAAATCCCTATGCGTTTCAAAATTCTGGGAAATCCAATATAGGAATCATCGGCTTTTGTACTTTAGTGTTTCTCTCTACTCCTATAAAATTAATGTCTTTTCTGCTTCTTTTTTCAGCTTTACATTGGTAATTTGTCGACAGTTCTGCTTACTGTAGCTGACAGCTTCTCCCAGGTGTTTGTTGTTAGTTCCACTGATCTGAAGAGAGTAGATGGGTTACTGCCCCAAGAGGCGTGTGTAAGTATTTGTTGTTGACCTACCTCAAACTCCGACCGCCAATTCTTAGTTTATAATAAGTTCTCATTTCTTGTAGCAGCTTCTCTCCTATTAGTTGTTACAGTAAGCTTAGCAGGCCGAAGACTAATCAAAGCATCTGTGGGTATAAACACACCAGGCAAGTTGTTGAGTGGTTATAAGTAGGTAATACAGTTGAGTATTGGATATCACGGTAGACAACAGTATAAGCAGAAAATTAATGTTTGCAGAGAAATAACAGGATTATAGTAAGTAATAATGCGGAGAAGGAATTCGAAGGTGGTATAGAAACAAGGGAAACAATAAATCATGGAGAAACGTGAATTTGACGTGAACCTGAGAAAGTGGCAGCAAATTGCACGAAAAACCTAAAGGTGATTTGAAATAAGAATAGAGTACGGTGAACGATACAGTGGTTAGGCGACACAATAATGTTTTTCTTCACTGGATGAGCCCCGGTTGTCACCATTCACTAGCGCTAGGTTGAAGAAATGAAGATAGAATCAATAGTTAACTGTACGCGATAAGTCAATAGGAAGAGTTCAATTGCTCAACCGGTTTGCCTACGTCTCAAATCTTAGTAATCAAACACTAATCACAGGGAACAGATGTGGAGTGATGGACATATTAAAACAATGATACTGGGCTCTTCAAACCGCAACTAAAAACTTGTGATAGTAGGGAAACATGATTTATTACGGTTGTTTACTGATTGAATATAAGTGGGAAGCAAACTGGAAGCAAGTAGAGGAGGCTGAGTGGGCACTTAAGGAAAACAAAAACACTTACAATGAGCTAATCGTTTGAAAATATCGCTGATCGGCTCGTACGAAGCCGTCTCAGGCTGATGTCTGCATATACTTCCATGCTTCCGTTACTGATTGACATACGCTACCTAAGTGTATAATATTTAATAGTCATTATTTCTCTTAGTTTGGACTTTTCTGTTCACACCGATGGCTCAGTCTTTAAGAAAGCTATTAGGTTTATGAATTGATAAAACCTGTGAGATAATACATCGTCGGTTGGAACAGCTTTTTATCTTCTGTCTATCTTAACTCTTTCGTCTTTGTTTATAACAGTACCTTACTTAATGTGATAGATGTTCCATACCAGTCTTCCAACTTTTTATGCTTAGAAATGTCGCTGAGAGTATCCCATGAGTAACCTGTCTCTTTGAGGATATCTGCTTGTATTAGTTCCTTCGTATTATTATTTTTAACAGTCTGGTAGTTTTTCCAAGATTTTATTTATTACATAAGCTTGGATCAACTTCATTTCGCTGCTTCTGAGCAGTAAACAAAATTTTATCAAATGCATTAATTTTCTCAGAAGTTTTTTAGCAGCAAAGATAATACTGTCAGCATCTTTCTGGTCAACTAGTTTGACGTCAGTTTTTGGACAGTCTTACAAATGATGGTTGATTACAGCTTTCATTGAATTAACATGTATGAGTCTTAGCAAAACTTAGAGAAGTTTTGAGTGAAGCCCTGTCTGTCAAAAAAAATTGTTGTTTCTTTTTTTTCTGGGTTGCTATCTCATGACAGAAACTTGAAAATTTTGTGCTTTTGCGAAAAAGATGAGATTAACTATTTTTATGTTGTCAAGAAGCAGTAGTAAAACATAATAAAATTAGAAATGAATCCATAACTGTTTATATTATAAATAGGTTTCAGTTTTAGGATCAAAAGTTGACTTCATTATAACCAACACAGCAAGATCCAGAAAGTAGAATACCTTTTGTTAAGTCACAATCTAGACCAAGAATGGACTACAGAGACCTAGTCACGAACTGGGAAAGAAATAAATAACGAAAAACGGGAAATTGCTTATACAGAGACATATTTAACGCAGCTGTCTGACACAGTTGAAAGTGGGCTGTAACTTTTTTAAATTAAGCGACTGTTTTGCTAGCGGTATCAAAAAATCTGCAAAATTCACAAAACAGTAATTGCACAAGTATTTCAAATAATTCGTGAAATATTCTTCATTTTATACGTCAATTTTGCGAACTTATAAAGTTTCTGTTACTGTACCTAACTTGTATTTTACTACCAAATCTAACGAAGTTCTATTATAAATCAAATTTCTAATTGCTGTAATTCGTTTAAGCTTGCCTGTGTAATTTATTGCACTCTGACTATGGAAAAAAGTTCACACTTATTTTTTTACTATTTTATAACGCTTTCCTGAACATTCTACATGTAATGTCCATAGGAAACCTTAATTATTGGCGAAATCTTTCAACGCACTTAGAAGAATCTCGTAGTTTTGGACGGCTATGGTTGAAGAACCTTTGCTTTTGGCGGAAGACTTCTGGCGCAAAATACTAAGAACAGTTATGCAATTAATATGAAATTTTTTTTCCTCTCCTAACTTATAAATGTTTTACAATTGTATGTTGATTAGTATCCAGTAGCTTACACGGCAGAGCAGTGAATTCTATCAGATTCTTGCAGTATGAAGGAGATTACAAATTCTCTTTAATTTCAGAAACCACTACTATTTTCTGCAAAACTTAAGCAGTCATTTTATGCAAAAGTTGATATTGCAACTTCTTATCACAAACGAGGGTCTAGTTACCAAAAGATAGGATAAAAAACATTAGAGAAACGAACGTTAAGGCGTTCTAGACAAACACTAAGTGAAAAATTTAGGTTTATTGCTAGACCTCTGCTAGGTAATAAAATTAACTTCAGCAAGTACTATGTCCTAGTTTATATTGCACTAAGCAGGTAACATTCTACCACTAATTACTCATTGGAAATCTTCTACTATTTATCGTAATATTCTCTTATTTTCTCATCGATGTCAGTCTGACATCATTTTGTTGCTTCTGCTCTCTAGCCACTTTTAAAGTTTTACCAAATGGGGTAAGAAACTTTGTTGATGTAGGTACACCTGATTGAAGTGGCTTCCTGGCACATGTACCAAGTGCTGAATGAGATACGCAATGGTAACCAACCGAAAACAAAGATTTTGATTATTGTCTCTTCTTCTTCCAACAGCTTTTTTTTATCTGTATTCGACTGCCTACCCGTTAAAACCACTCTATAGGTGAGCAAGCCTAGCCAGTGACGTGCGGCATTTACTCAGTACTCTTACTTGCGTAAGAAGGTTACTATTTTTTTTCTGAAAGACTCATGGGATGAACTTTTGATTGCTTCTATAGTTGGGAAATAAAAGTCTATAAAAATTTGATAGCGTTACAGTCTTTTACAAATTAAAACTTGCGGCCTTGCAGAGCAATATGAATACTAGATTAGTTTTTGACGCTGACTGTAATTTTATTTTTAGGCAACTTTAATCACTGTTCCTTCGACAAAGGAAAGCATATTGTTTGCCTCAGTTCTTCATGAATATTTTTAAAACTTTTTCATAATGTTATTACATCTTTTTGCTGTTGTCATTAATACTGACCGGTTTGATGGAACTGTTTTCCCGTATACCAATAATAATATCTTCTCAATGATACAAAGGTATGCATGTTGGAAACAAAACTTTTTCTCTCCAAATTTTTCGGTAGGTGCACCAAGAAGAAATAAAAAGGGAAAAAAGCGGTTTACCAAAAGTTGTTCAGAAAAAAGACACACAACAGTAATACAGTGGTATATTGTATTGTTAAAGCTGTTTTTTTGACCGTTTTGTTGTGCCACTGATGGTTATTCAATTCTGAAACATGTATTACCAATAAAATGATTATTTATTTTTTTTTTGACATCAAAAATGCAAGTTAGTTTCAAACCAAAAAAAAATAACAACAGTGGTTACGTCGATAAAATTTGCTCAGTAAAAACATTTTTGGTGAAAAAAAATTGAAATTTAAGCCATCTTTTTTTTGTGTTCCTTGTCACTTTTACCGTACGGGTTGTAATGATGTATCAAAGAACCAATATATTTTAATTATATCTATCTTCCAAGCGGTATTTTAACAACAAAGTGGTGGCGCAGTAATCTTCTTAAAAATACGTACTGCAGCAAATGTACCGGGTGACATTACTCCAGCAGAGCAATCCAACAAAACAGAAAAGTCAAAAAAAACTTTGAAAAATCAAGAAATTTAATTCAACTGCAAAAAATAGCGAAGAAAACACGCAAACAAAAATGTCAAAATGACTGACTTTATTAGAACATTGTTGATGTGAAAAAGAATAAATTAATGAAAAGGTAGGAGTAAGTAGTTTAACACTACACTGTACGTAATAATAGTAATAATAATAATAATAATAGTGGTAGTAATAATAATAGTGATAATAAAAATAATAATAGTACTGGTGATTATAATTACAAATTTGGTGCTGCAACTTTAACATCAATACCCATCAAGAAACATGCAATAGTACTTTGAGCCATCCGTCGTTGTAACAGCGCTTTACCGAATGCCGAAATGTAAGATTCATTCTTCTGTTCCATATCCATCAGATAAACAGTGATGAACATTGATATCTGTAATTCGAGCGCATTTTACTTTATTGGATTTCTCAGCCGTATGTTTTATGACTAAAGCGTAACAAAAGGAGGTAGTGTCGCTATTAATTTTTCTCTTCAATCTACATAATCCTTAGACTTTCAGTTACTATGAATAATCTTAAGAATGAAAAAGTTTTGATGAATATCTTATGGGACATAAAAAATAAAAAATACAAAGTAACAAAATGAAGACAAAATGGTTATTCGTATATGGTTGATTTGAGAAAAAAAAGTAGAATCAAATGCCAGCTAACAGGTCTTTTTTCCAAGATATTATTTTGAATTTCTGGTGGAATATACTCCTTAACATCGTCAAATTCCGGTGTGCACATTTCAGTTTCAATATCATACAAACCCGGTTGCATTACCTAAAATAGGCATCTCATATCTGCCTGATTTAGTTGACATTTTAGCAGGTAAATCAGAAAAAATTTTCTTCACCTCTCTTGCACATTCAACTATCAGTCTCTGTTCATGTGTACCATTAAAGTACCTTTTCAAAAGCCATACATTTTTTTTCCGGAATGTGCATTAAATTTACAGTAAGAAAATATTTCTCTTCCCTTGACTTTGCACCTGTTTTCCGCTGATTGAAAAAATCTGTATTTTACAAATAATGTAGAAATAGAGAGTAAATGCAGTTATTCCTCAGTTCGCTTTTGTATTTTTCTGAGGCCAAGTTCAAACAATCTGTGGAAAACCGCTTATTTTAAAAAGGAAGAAAATCTTTTTCCCATTCTTTCTTTTTTTAGTACGTCAGTTAGATGTGATTAGAAATATTTTACGATGAACTAACTTCACAACGACAATCGTCATCAATCACTTTATGAGCAAGTTCAGCTGTTTGCGAAATCATTATATGCGATGACTGACTTTTCATTTGCTTACAAAAATCACAGAATACACTGAAACAATTATTACTTTTGTTAAAAACAAATTAACAAAAAAAAACAGTTATAATAATCTAGAAAAGCTCATTATTTCAAAATAAAGACCACTTATGAGCTCTGCAAAAAAAAGCTTATTTTTGCAATGATTTCACTGTGAAATAATCTTGATTCTTTGGTTGTAAAAAAAACTTTAAAAAAAATTACTTTCACAAAAAAAAACAGGCTAAAGACAACTGAATTGCTACAATAATTATATTTTGTAAGTTTATGTTATCTGTTTTCGAAACATCAGCAAAACGTGGAACTTTGCTGGCCAAGCAAACAGAATAGACTGAACAGAAAACTGTCGCAAGAGCCTACTTACCAGGATCCTTCTAGTTTTGCACAAGGACATTGGTTGACTTTTTGATCAACCTTTTTTGAACACGGTAAAGTCGGATTATTTGGATCCGGTGTACCACCGATTCGCATTTCAATTTCAGCTACAAGATTCTTCACTGGCTTTACAATCTGCACTCCAAGTGCTTTAATTTTGATACATCCCGGAATCAACGGATTTTTTGGCGTTAACAAGATTTTGTCTGGATTGAATCGTATTGATGGCCGATATTTTGTTATATCAATTCCTCGTCGGGATAAATATACTGAACAGTGAAAAAACGACTGTAGTATATGTTCAAACATTACAATTTTCATTTTCAGGCATAATGACTAACCAAACTGGCTATCTGTCACTATGTTTCTTACTTCCGTATATTTTTTTTCTTTTTTGGAGAAAATGAAAAACCTTTACCAATTAGTTACACAGCCGTAAACTTCAAATTTGGTTTTTAACAAATTGGACTACCCCTCTGTTGATCATAAGTTAGATAGAAACCACCAATATAATCTTTTTCAAAGTAAAAGCTTACAAAAAATTGTACAAAACATGAAAAAAAGAAATCAAATTTCCCACTGATACCTTAACCAGAAAATTGGAAAGAAAGTATAAACAATAATAGAATTATTTAGACTTTACACAAGTATAAAAAATTTTTTGTTCAAGTCGTCAATTTTCAGTCACTGAGCAAGAAAATGTTCAAGACAAAAAAAAAAAGTGGATTTGATCATTGATTTAAGAAAACCAAATACGTTTGTTTTGATCCCTCTATATGCTGAGCACTTTAACGCCTTCGATAACATCCGTAAACTAATAGTAAAATCATTTTTCTTTTGTGTTCAAAAGTTCAACCACGTTACTGTTATTGCAGATCTATAAATACTGAGAAAAAGCCTAAATATATTGATAAGAAAAATTTGAGGTAGTGAAAAGCAGATAAAATTATTACTGTTTCTTTTTTTAAATATAAAAAAAATTGAAAAATATTTTTTTTTTCCAAAATGTGTCATAATCTGTTAGTTGACAAACTGTTCAAGAGATAAAAAGAGAAAAAAAAACAAAGAAAATAGGAAATCCGTTGTATGATCAATAAAAATTTCTTGAGTGGCCCCAAATCAGGTCAAAAACGTGCCCATATTCCATATGTGCGCTGTATGTCTTATGCATCACTGACATCTTCGATGTTCCAGCGCGCTTTAAATGACAGCAAATTTCCAATTATATCTTCCCCTTCCTCGTCGTTTCATTGCTCGAACTTTTTCTTCTTCTTTAGCAGCAGCAGCAGCAGCAGCAGCAGATAACAACAACAACAACAACAACAACAACAACAGCTACAGCAATTTCTTGCCCTAGTTGACAATTACAACTGGTCAGTGCTGATTGTTCACGAAGCTCATGCATACAAAAAAAATTTTTTCTTTTTGCAGCCACAACAACAAACTAGTTGAACACTGAAAAAGCATCACCATCCATCACTACTATTTATTTGTTTTGCTATTTGACGTGGTAATCAGCAAAAGCGAACTGAGCTTAAGTTGTACCGCAAGACAAAAGAAAACAGCAGCTTTTCAAAGCCTTCTTATTTCTCCTTTTTCTATAGTGTTCATTATATTTTTTTCTCTAAGCCTACCACGTCTTAAAAAATAAACTAAAAATCTCTAAAAAGGCTCAGTTTAGCAACCCTTACTACAAGCAAGTGATAAAAATCAACTAAGCCGATACAATCGCATAAACAATTTCGAAAACAGAATGTTGTTTTAAAAAGTCGGAAGCTTTCCATGCAATGTACAACTTAAATAATGGCGAAAAAAGTGAAAAAAAAATTGGGCCAAAAATTGCAGTTCTTTATGAAAAAGATGACAATGTTCATAGACGATATGAGCAAAAATGTAATGTTTAATTGTCATCTGTATTTTACCAACATACAAACAAACAGAGACACAGGCACACACAGACACACACACACACACAGACACATACACACACACACACACACACACACACACACACACACACACTCAAACACACAGATAATCATAGTCGACTGTCTAGTTAGAAACGTATGTAAACGCACATCAAATTGGACCGAAAATAACAACTGGAATAAGATTCTTTTGTTACTTCGTTTGCCAAGTAGACGAAACTAACTCACTTGGACTGCAAGCTCCAGATACTCGGATGTTGACCTCAGCGTGATCCTGACCTACAGAAACGGTGTTTAAAGCTGATAATACTGCGATAAATAAAAAAGTGACAGAATATGAAGACGAGATCATTGTTGTTGTAAACTGTCGAGGTGAAAACAGAGCACAAGCGGGTTCGTTGAAAATAATACTGGTCTTAGGGCGGACCGGCGGATGCGGCACCGCGACACAGTGGCGAATTGTAGGTTGGATGATGAGGTCACAACCGGACAGACCCCTGGTCCACAGGTGGCTCTGTTTTACGGCAATCAGAAGATGAAGGAGAAAACGTTAAAAAAAAAAAAAGGAAAAAATTAATTAGGCGGAGTATGTGATGGTTCATCCCGCCAAACTGTTTCCATCAATACTATCATCATCATCGTCGTCATTACTACCATTGTCGTCATCATCAGCACCTATATTTATTTGTTCTTTTAAAAACTTGATTCTATCGATGACCGCATTGACGTGACGCTTTGTCAAACTTCACTTTACTGCTGTTTTGTACAATAATGTTCCTTCCTTCCCTTCATTTCAGCGCTATATTCCGTTTTTTCTCACCTCTGTTCAGTTTTTTTTCCTTTTTTTAGAAGAAATAATCCACAAATTCACTTTCAGCCAAACCACAGAATCTTTATTATAAAACAGGAAAAAAGAAGAAAGGGAAGACGCCTTCTACACTCAGAATACAATATTGACAAAAAAATTTAAGTGGCTTTTTGATGCTTAAAAAGATTATTGCTATTAACAGAGCCTGACTATAAATAACTTCTCATTTTCCTTATGCATTTTGGCATATTCTTCAATTCCAACAAACACAGAATAAACTAAAGTAAAATCTTTGAAAGCCATTTTTCATTTTGGCTGATACCCATAATTACTGTACACCGAATTAGCAGATGCATTTGTAGCTGTAGCTAAAATTTAGTTCGGTAAACTAGCGAGGACTATAATGAAGTGAAGAAAAAGAAGGGGGTAATTAAACAGTTATAGTAAGAATAAGATTATTCGAAAATTTCTTTCCATTCTTCAATTTCCAGTTGAAAAAATAATGACAACAATAATTTAAAAATGCCTTATTTTTAAAAATCCTGATTACTGTAGCACAAAATGTTACGCTAGTTTTAATCCATTCAGCATTGAATAATGAAAATAAATGCACTAATTTGCTTCTTTAACATTTGAATAATTCTTAAAAATACAGGAAAATCAACTGAAAAATGAACATATCTGAAAACAAAGTGTTCTTTTTTAAATAACTGTATTGAGCACGAGCATTGCATATCTGTGAAATTCATAATGTGGCGATGAAATTGACTGCTGAAAAGTTTATAGCCAAATCAAGCTAGAAAATACAATTAGAAGAATTCTTTATTTGTCAATAAGACACTAAAAATGTTCAGACTTCACTGCCTAATAGTGATTTACTGCTAAAAAAATTAGAATACTATTAATACATTGACAACGTTGTTAAAACCGAAAAATAGCAGCCAACCCCAACTAACTTCCCACCAATAATACCTCATTTTTTTCTTTTCACTTATAAATTTTCAAAATTCTTTTTTGGAAGTAACCAAATACTGAGAGTTGTATTTAAAACTGTAAAATCTGGGAATATTTGCGGTTAAGGTTAACTGCAGAAAAAACCAAAATAGATTTTAAGCTTTTTAAACAGCACTTCTCCTCTTCCGCCTCAACCCTCAGCTGCCGCCTGTTTTGCAGTGCACTTCACTCACAGCTCAAACCTTAAACGCAAAAGTCGACTTTGGAAACCCAACACTGTATTGACAACTCCTATACCACTATCCGGAAACTTAGCATATTCCCGCTTCTACTGCACTCTAATCGCAACGACTGACACATACCCCGCTTTCCGGAACAGGCGGAGAGAACAAGTTACCTTCTGCGATAGCTAAATACAATAGCAACTTACCACGTCCTAAAAAATACACAGAATGAAATGACACCTCAACAGCTACAAGAACTTGAAAACTTCTACGACCTCCCTGCGGAAAACAGCAAAGAAACAAAAGCTCCCAAAAATGCAGCAACGTCAACAGAATCAACTGCACTTCGACCAGTATTGTAACAACTGTTTTATTTCTTAAAAATATTAAAGTCCAATCAAAACGTCAGAGCATGGAGCATCAAAAATACCAACCAAACTAGCAATGAAAAACGTAACATATGACACACACACTTCACTCATTTCAACAAATCTGATGAACATACAACAACTTCAGCTAATTTTTAGCAAAATACAGATTGCAAATACCTCAGTAAAAATACAGAAAATTTCAAAGTAAGATATTAAAAAAACTGCAATCAAAAGAGCGAACATAAAAGTTCTTCAACAAAAAAAGATGTCCAAATAACACAACGAAATACACTTAGAATGTAGACCACTTATGTTTTAAAATCCATCAAAACAGTGAAGTGTAAAAAAAGTCTCGACCCAGCCAGCTAAAAAAAAACTTCCGAACCTGCGGAACCCATGCCCTTCTAGCACGTGCTGCTAGTAACCCTAACATACGAAACTTTTCTGCAACAACCACAGTCTAAATTTTTCCCCACAATCAGAGCTACTTTGAAAAACATAAAGGAAAACACATCACGATTAAATTACAAGAACAGCTTCCAGGAGTAAAAATGAAGGATGAAATTACATAAAGGCCTCTAAAAACAGAATAAACATTCCCAAGTATCATTCGTAAAACGGATGACCTATGGGTTGATCGATTTTGTTACTTAATAATCGACATGATTAGTAAGAAAAATTAGACAATGAACTTTTAACAGTCAAACTTCAATGGCCTTCTCAGTTGCTACAACCTGAGCTTCATTTGATTTTTCCGGTTTCACCTGGCATCGAACAGCATCTGCAAAAAATAGTGTATCAAAATACAATCCTAAAACTTTCATGAGAACCTAGAAAGAAAAATTACGAGTTAAACTTAATAAAACGACTGAACGAAAAGTAATGACACAAAAAGAGACCTTCTGCAACAACGTCGGTATCAGGTTCTACGATAAACTGCTCAGGTGACCTATCATTCTGATCGGTAGACGTATTCTAAATAGATGTTTACATCATATGAAACAAAAGTCTAGAAAAAGCAAGACATAAAAGCCAAGTATTGCAGTTATAACTACCATTTCCTTACTGCTGTCAGCCTCCGCAGATACAGAAGCTCCATCAGACTTCTGAGGTGCGTTTTCTTCAGAGATAGAAGCTGCTAACTGTGCCACCATCTCCTGATCAACTTCTTCACCTTCCGCCATTAGGACATAAACTCGTTCACCATTAGCACCTTCAAGCGCTTGTACCTTGAGAAAAAAAGATAAGATACACCGAGACTGAAAAAAGTAATGAATAAATAATTTTTTATGATGCAGCCAGTGGAACTTTCCAGTGTTTCATCTCACCATAAAGTAAAAAACAAAACCAGTAACACTTTCGAAAAAAAGTTAAAAGTATAGGCAAAATAAAGTTATTTCCACACATGAGTCAGATATAACAACACCTTGAAGTTGGAGCTTTGTCATAAGCTCAATATTTGAATCATATCTCATAATAAAATTTATAATCTAAGGCAAAAATTTTTCCACGAAAGCCAGAAAGAAATTTTTGCTATACAACGAATCTCGGTTATCTGCAGAGAAGGAAAATGAACTTAATTAGTTACCCGTTCAAATTCGACGTTATACTGCTCTTTCAAAGAAGCAATCGTTTCAGGATCAGTAATATATCCATTATTAGACTCCTCCCCTAAAATAGAAAAAACTTGGATGAGAAATACATCCCATTGAAACAAAAATACGATTCTTTTACTCGTTTGCCACTCAAGATTCACACCCGACTTACACTGAGAAACGAAGAAATTAATTGAAGACGTTTACGGGGACCCACAGCCAACTTTACGAGCCT